CAAAATGGCGACATACGAAAACAGAATGGCGTGGCATTAAAACAACATGGTGGATAGTGAAAGAGGTACGTTGAGTTTTGATCGTTATTCCCGAAGTTTTAATTTAAGGTTTGGAGGTATCTCTGAACAATCAAAAGAAGATACACAAGACAAACTGCAAAATATAATTGAAAAAGAACTTGGATTTACCAAATTCATAATTGAAAACAGCCACCGAGAAGGTAAACGTGCAAAAAACGAGCCGCGACACAATCTTGCCAAGTTTCTTTATAGACCTCAACGAATTATGGCTAAAGCAAGAGAGAAACTGAACGGCAAAGTTATATTTGTTACTGAAGATCTGCAAGAAAGTGATGTTCGTCAAAAGGGAACTCTCAGAGATTATGGCGAAAGCATATGCAGAAAAGAAGAGGCCACTGCTTAAAAAAGGCACTTTATACATTGAGGGTGTTTGTCAACAAATAAAGATTCGTATCTATTTAAATAGAAAGTACTGATAAATAAGTTTTCGTCATTTCTTATAATGATGCACAAGGTACTATGTATTATGTTTGATGTAAAGTGTAATCCTTTAGCATACACATCTAAAACTTTGTTTGGTTTTCTTTCATATAATAACTTACTAGTATTCTATAAAACAAACAAGAGCTGAAACAAACTTACTTTATCGGTATTATCTTAACCATTTAATATACAGTTAACTTACTTTAATTTTTTTATTATTAATGAGGTCAATTATTTTTTGTTTCTTTTATTTATTTATCTATTTATTAATATTATTGTTTTATTTACTTATTCATTTATTTAGATATTATTAGTATTGATATTGTCATTGATACTGTTATTATTATTATTATTAAAGTTGTATGTTTTTAACTTTTGATAAAGATAATGACATACAGGAAGATAATATGATCAGAGAATAGGTATTATGACACACATGATTTTAATGTAGCAAACACCTCAAAAATCAAAACAATCTATCAACTTTCTCTCTAAACTGCCATAGCATAGAAGTAAGTTTGAAAAAAAATATAAAAAATATATATTGTTACGTTTGTCCAGTTGTGGTATGAAGTTTGACAGCAAAAAAAAGTAGGCTAAATCCAACGATGTATTCTTCAATCTGTCCGTCTTTATTCAAAAGCAACGCATCTTCAACATAGAGGGCCCAGCCTTATCACACCCCCCCTTTAAGGGTTCGATCTCATTGAGGAGAACATTCTCAATAACATAAACGAAGCTGTTTTTATCTATAAAACTTTACATAGCAAACATCGCCCATATTACTTTTATAATTTTAACTGATGATTTATTTTAACGGATAAATAACAACTGTATTAAACTAAATCCTTGGCAATGCGTCAGCCACTACATTATCTTTTCCACTTATGTGGCAGATATCTAAATTCCACTCCTGTAATGCCAAGCTCCATCTGAGTAATGGCATGTTCTTGTTTTTCATCTTCTCAAGAAACGTTAACGGATTGTGGTCTGTCCATATATTAATCTTGTGAGAAGCTGCTCTCAAGTACACCTCAAAGTGCTGTAAGGCCAACACCGACTCTAGGGATTCCTTTTCCACACCGTTGAGTAACACTGCTGATGCTTATCAAATTTATTTGACAATAAGCAGACTGGTCTTTCAATTCCACCATCATCCATCTGCATAAGTACTGCACCAGCTCCGATGTCACTAGCATCTATCATTAAAGAAAATAGTTTTAAAAAAATGGGGCCATAAACACCGGCTCAGCAGTAACTGAAAGCATCCTCACACTTTTTTGACCACTGATATGCGACATTCCTTTGCAGAAGACTTGTCAGGGGTGCTACTGTACTATCGAAGAGAAATTCTTACAAAATGTTCTATAATACCCCGCCATTCCCAAGAATCTCATTAACTTCTTATTATCTGTTGGGGCTGGGAAGTTCTTTATAGTTTCTATTTTGACATGTACCGGTTTCACTTTACCACATCTAACGACATGTCCCAAAAACTTCTAAACAAACTCACTTTTTGCAAATTAGCTGATTTCAAACGCTTAAACAACTCTCTGATTCTCTAAACATGCACATCCCATGTAACACTGTAAATCACTAAATCATCAATGTATGCTTCACACCCTTCTAAACCGGATATCAAATTGTTTACTAGTCGCAGGGGCATTCCTTATGCCAAACGGCATGACCCGATATTGATAAAGACCCATGGGTTTAACAAACGCTGACACTCGTTTCGCTCTTTTGGAAAGTTGAATTTGCTAGTACCCCTTCAGCAAATCAAATTTGCTGGCAAAGTTAGAAGCACCAATGCGATCTATGCAATCCTCTATGCGCGGCAGAGGGTATCAATCTGGTTTCGTATGAGCATTCACCTTGCTATAATCCGTACAAAAACGATAGGACTTATCCGGCTTTGGGACTAGTACACATGGAGAACTCCAGCTACTGTCACTAGGCTCTATAATACCATTTGTCAACATAAAATCAATTTGTTTACGAATTATCGCCATTTTAAGTGGATTTACCCTGTACGGATATTCCTTAATAGGAGTAGTGTTACCTATATCGACATCATGTTCCACCAGGTTTGTCACACCAGGAACATCAGAAAACAATTCCAGATTCTCATTTATCAGTTGCATTAATTTCTCTTATCACGCGGCAAATGTTCAAGTTTCTCTATTCTCTGAAGGACATCAGAATTTGTCAACGCGGTACTAGGATCACTATCAAATAATCTGTCTATCTCTGACGGGATTCTATTTTCTGATTAACACTACACAACACTTGTTTTTTCACACAACCACCCTCCCTCTCAAAATAGGGCTTTAGCATATCACAGTATTAACATGACATAAGCGTCTTTGCTGACGTCTATCATGCTTATCTAATACATAGTCCACGTCACCGACTCGTTACCGCGATTTAGTACGCGGTAACGGACCAACACAATCGATAAAGGTGAATTGGGTACCTTTTGATTGGGCTTGCCGACGATCTGGCATGCATGACATACTTTACAATCCTTAGACACATCTTGTTTCAATGTAGGCCAAAAGAAATAATGAAGAATTCTTTCCTGTGTCTTTTTGCTCTCCGACTAAGCGACAAAATCTCAGGATCCCTATTTTGTTCTACCAACAAAGCATCTCTAGTAAGAACATTTATTCCAAACTCTCGCTCTTGTTCTTTTTCCTTATACAAAGTTTGAACAACATTGGGTATCTGTGAGGAACCATCCCCCATCCCTTCATCTGAAAATACATCACTCAAAAAACTGTCAATCAAATCTACATCCTCCGCATCAACATCTCAACTAATTCTACGGTGCGCGCGTCTTCAACAGGATGTTTTGACAACAAACGCTTTGGAACTACTTTTTCTCCCACGAGATCATTCCCTAAAAGAAATGTGGCTCCTTCAACCGGTAGAGTCGGAACAACTCCAACAACTACTCTCCCTTTGACTAAGTCTGTTTGAAGATCAACAACATGAAGAGGCACTTCTTTAAAGCTACCTTCTACACCCTGGACAAGCACATTTGCTCCAGCCGACGACTCATCAGACACTGGTAAAACATACAACAACAACAACGACTGCGCGGCACCCGTATCTCGTAAATCTTTCTCACTACTGAGCAATGCCACGGCTCCATTTGAAATAAAAGGTTAAAACTGTCTCTTTAACATTTCTGTATCTGATGGTTTAAATTTAACTGTGATCCACAACATCATTATGTGTGTTCATGACACTTAAAAGCGCATTTGTAAAATTCTTAACATCACCTTTCTTTTTGTGCAACAACCAACAATTTGACATAACATGACCCTTTTTTTACAGTAATAACAAACAATATCTCGTAAGGGCCTTTGAAATCCTTTACCACTACTTGCAGTAAAACCAGACTGATTCTATCAGCTGTGTCCAATTTCGCACCGCGAAACGTATAATTATTATTTGAAATCTTATTCACTGACTTATGTGTCAACACAAAATTATCAGCCATGGTGGCTGCCTTCATCAACTCATTAACTTTTCATTCTCCCTAGTGTGTATGCACCTCTTGTAGTGTAGTGCTGTTGTACTACTTTGTGTTATGTGCCGTTGTACGCGCGGATTAATATAAATAAAGTATTAGTTGAGGACGGCATGGCGTGTGTGCATCGTTGTTGCTATTGTCTGTATTAACAACCCATTGTTTCATATTTTGATGTAACTAAAAAATCCAGTAGGATTAGCTGGAATTCTTGTCTAGTATGAAACCAAAGAGGGCTGTAGAAAACCCCAAGTTGTTACTTATAGTAGCAGAGCGCTTACGCCTGTAGAGCAGCGCTACAAAAACCAGTTAGAGCGTGAAGCACTAGCGGTAGTGTGGGCCTGTGAATACTTTCATGTTTATTTCTTTGGTGCCCCGATTCGTATAGTCACTGATCACAAGCCCTAGGTAACCATATTCGGAAATCCCAATGCGAATTTACCATTACGGTTAGAGCGATGGGCACTGCGACTTTTGCCATACAAACCGACTATTGTGTGTAAGATAGGCAAAGATAACCCGTCTGATTACCTGTCACGCCATCCTCAAGATTCTAAGCTAAGTTCACGTGAAGAGATTATCGCTGAAGAATATGTTAGTTTTGTAATGAATGAAAGCATACCAAAAGCCATGACAGTCCACGAGGTCGTAAAAGCAACTGAAAATGATCCAACGCTTAACGCTGTAAAAGATTTGCTGTCCACCAACAAATGGTACCTATTAGAAACAAAATACCGTGGTAATTCTAAAGTTGATTTCCAAGCACTTCAGTCATACAATCGCGTCAGCACAGAATTGACTGTAGTGAAAATGGCCTTATTCTACGTGGTACCAGGATCGTCATGCCCAAGGAGCTGCAAGCTCGTGCAGTACAGATTGCCCATGAAGGGCATCAAGGGTTAGTTAAATCCAAAGCACTCTTAAGAGAAAAAAAAGTTGTTTTCCGCAGTTGGACAATATGGTAGCTGATGTCGTAGATGAATGCATAGCATGTAAAGTATCATTCGACCCTAAACAGAGAGAACCCATTCAAATGACCGAGTTACCTCCACACAAATGGTCATGTTTGGCATCGGACTTCTTCGGACCACTGCCTTCCGGAGAGTACTTACTAGTTATAGTTGATGAGTATTCTCGCTTCCCAGAGGTAGAGATAATTAAATTCCTTTCAGCCAGTTCTGTCATCCCGATTTTTGATAAAGTGTTTTCATCAAGGGGTATCCCTGATAAACTGAAAACTGATAATGAAACACCCTTTCAAAGCTAGGAATTTAAAAGCTTTGCGAGTTATTTAGGATTTTATCATCAAAAAGTTACTCCTTACTGGCCTGAGGCCAACGGGGCCGCAGAAAGGTTTATGAAAACTATTGGAAAATTTTGTAAATGCGCACAAGCCGAAAGCAGGCCATTGAAACAAGAACTTTATAAGTTTGTTACGAAATTATAGGGCTACACCCCACTCGTCGACGGGTGTTGCACCGGCTACTGTGTTAAATGGTCAGGTATTAAAAACTAAGTTGCCCCAAGTATCTGTCGAAGAAAATGATATGGAGTTTTGGGAACGCGTTAAATTAGCGAAAAACAAAATGAAAGTGTATGCGGAGGAAAAACGTAATATCAAGTCGTCAAGTGTAGACGTGGGTGACAAAGTTGTGTTAAAGAACATGTCACGATCTACAAAAATTTCCCCCAAATTCCAGCCTGAGCCTTTTTGAAGTAATTGATGTAAAAGGCTTTATGATCACAGCTCGTCGCAGGAGAGAAATTAAGGCTAGAAATATAAGTCATGTTAGGAAATTGAATCGGTCTATTGAGCGTTCAGAGAATTCTGATCGATCTGCTTGCAGACAATGCCAACACAAGCATATCATACCCGTTCGATCTCCTCCGCCTAAAAGGGTTAGGAATGTTCCTAAACGCTTCGAAAACTTTTCTGTCGACTTGCCAGGTCGGTAGATCAGGTGTGGCATTCATGTACTTTCTAGTTAGATGAGTTGGGTCAGCAAGTATTACTTACTGTTGACATTTCAGCATGCCTACTGTTATTGTTAGTTTTACATTACTGTTGTACAGTATATGCCCTGGTGTTATTGTTATGTTTAACAAAAAAAAAGACAAAAAACAGTTAACTATATAAAACATCATACTTATGGAAGATACAGTAGAGTCATGATAATCACATCTTCAGTAATAATTGTCGTAATGTTTTAATGGAAAATTTCACATGAATGATAACATATGTATGTCACAATCCCAAGTTTTTACAGTTCAGCTAATTCACATGCGATGGCAAGTTCAAATTTTATTTTAATTCCGCATCCCACCTCTTTTGAAAGTTTGGGGAGATGTAGTGCAGTGCTGTTGTACTACTTTGTGTTATGTGCCGTTGCACGCGCAGATTAATATAAATAAAGTATTAGTTGAGGACGACATGGCGTGTGTGCATCGTTGTTGTTATTGTCTGTATTAACAACACTAAACCTCTGAAGACAAACAATTTTTAAACTCTTAAACGAATACGAGCTCTCTAAGTTGGTTAAAATCCCCATTAACACCTCCGGCACTAATTCGTTGGCCTCCAAAATCGCTTTTTTAACAGTTTAATAGCTCTCACACATATCATCTGACAGTGAGGAAAAAATTTTCTGGGCTATCCCAATTAAACCTGTTTGTAATAACACAGTCCAATCCTTGGCAGGCCATTTAAGCCTATTCACCACTTTCTCAAACGCCATGAAGTAAGATTCAACCTTCTCTTCATTAAGGTTTTGAACCCATTTATTGTTATGAGTGATCTCTTAATCATTATCGCTATTTGAACGACCAGTCTCAATTTGTCCTATCTCTAAATTTCTTTAGTTCTAAATGTTGTTTTCCTCTTTCCACCTCCAACTTGGTCATTTCAAGCTTCATTCGGTCTCTCTCTAATTAAATTTTAGCAAGTTTAAGCTCACTCACTCACTCCCTCACCTCCTGACGCTGCATTCCCTGCAGTCTCTTCAATAATCAAACCACTGTTAACACTAACCGCATGAATCAACTCATCTTTTTTCATTGAAGCAGTAACTTTAACTCCCAGCTTTCAGTACCAGCTGATCCTTTCTCAGCGTACGTAATTTCTCAATGGATAAACTATCCACGAATTCATCGGTTATTTCACTTTCCGACATGATTCTACTTTAGCCTACCTTTCACAAAACATGGTAATGTTGACCCGGAAAGATAACAGAATGATATCTATAATCAACCACAAACCCTACACCGAGGCTATACTAATCAACACCTGACGCTGTCGCAAGCGTCACACCCGAGTGAACAACATTATACCCCTTGCAATGTTTACATTGAACCTGGCTGAAATGCTATCTTAATACACTGTCTGGTTATATTTACTTTTGTTGTGCAAAACATATGAAAGCTACAAGGATGAAAATCACATATGACATATTTACAAATATTAAAATTGAAGAAACTTTATTTTTTCTATTTTTATTCAATTATTAAACTCATTTAATCGGATGTCGCCAGGTGCGAGAGCGAATTCTATGTTCTTTCAAGCTGTCAATGAAAATCATATTGTGAAATACATTTTAAAAATTAGATAAGAATAAGTCATGTGGTCATGATGAGATTATGGTAAAACATATTGTAAATAATGCTGATATATTATGTAAGCCTATTGCCCACATTATTAATATTTCGCTTTAAAGTGGAATATTTCATTAGCAGTAAAAAATAGCAAAAACTGTGCCGATTTATAAAAAGGGAATAAAGACAATATCAGCAACTATCGACCAATAATTATATTTTACGATGCTTATCGAAAATATTTGAGAAGGTCGTGTTTGACCAGACACTATTATTTTTATGTAAGCATGATTTACTTAGTGCAACTCTACTGAACATGCCCTACTCCAAGGATTGGGCAAAAAACAAATGCAATTGACAAAAAAATGTTTGTAATTGGAGTCTTTAGATTTGTCCAAAGCATTTGACTCAATTAATAATCAAATACTACTTAGTAAACTGAGGTATTATAGTATAAGGGGATTTGTTTTAGACTGGTTTGCAAGTTATCTGGACAAAAGAAAACAATATGTAGATATCAAGGGACAAAGACCTGAGTATAGAGGGCTCGATTTTTGGGCCTTTTAGGGGCTTTTCTTGCACATGAATGATATGCTGATGTTTGTAACAGATCTGACGCGTTTAAACTTACAGTATAAGTCATTTTTTAAATGTCTCTGATAAATTAAAGGTCAATTAAAGTCAAATGATAATTTTAATAAGTCATTATGCCTATTATGCATGCTGCAAAAATTGGTTCTTACAAATGAGATGGAAATGCCCCCATCACATTTGTAAGAACCAATATTTAGCAGCATGCATAATGGGCATAATGACATATTATCAAAATCATCATTTTACTTCAATTGACATTTAATCCTTCCCAGACATCCCCGATGGAACTCAACATCAACATCATTATCATCATCATCATCAACATCATCATCGTCATCATGATTATCAACAAAATCAACATAATAATAATCATCATCATCATCATCATCATCATCATCACAGTACCCATATAAGTGATTTTTTTTGTTCTATCATTACTACTAAAATAGTATTTGAATGTATTTTCCACAGCCACCATTAGAATGCAGTTTCGAACGCTGACTGTCGGAATTGGGGAATCCGCCACTATCAACCTCAGTGAAGACGGCGGTTATAACGATTTACGCTGGAGACACAATTATGGTGGCGTAATTAAAATGTTGAACGGTAAATCGTCCATTACGATTAAAAATATACGCGCTAAAGATGACGGAGTATATGAATGTTACAGAGACGATAATCCTGATGGAAACCGTGGAGTGATGAGACTCATTGTCAGAGGTAACTAGGCAAGATAAAATGCATAATGCTCTAAGTTTCACAATCAATAGAATGTTGGATTGATGGAGAATGGTAAAATATTTATTATTGCAATAATATGTTATTGTTCCATAATAGAAAATATATTTTTCAAATTTTCTCGGTATAATAAAAAGTGGTTCAATTGAACAACTTATTTCCTTTGTTTAGTCATGGAGTTTTATTATTTGTAATTATTTTATGCCCCATGGCTTAATGAGACTTGATAGGGTGAGTGGTGTAATTTGTTGTTTATAATTATAAGTTGTAAATCAGTCCATTCACGAGTACGACGTATATTCTCATTAACTAGGGAATTTTTAAATATTTAACGCCTTTTCGCCTAATGTCTGATCTCTCTGCCTGAGTTGCCTTTATGCAGTACCTATGTATGTTTGTTGTGCTAGTTTTCTCACCATTTTTTTTCTCGTTGGACAAATTCATTTATTTTTTTCAGCACGATTAATGTGTCCACCCTTATGCTATGTTTATCTATTTTATTTTATTTAGACTACCTTTGTATTTTTGTGTTGACATAGTGAACATGAAAGCAATGCATCCAATTAAAAATATCGTTTCTCATTAAAATTGCTCATTATACTTGTCAACTATGTAAGAGTTGACCAATCAGGATTATGTAGAATCGTTTGTGAATGGTTAGGAAGCTGATAGCAAACATTACGTTACCGCTAATATGGTTAGTGAAAGTATAGAAAAGCTTCCACTGGGTAAGTTCGTTGGTAGTGACAAATTTACGGGTGACCATTTTGCCACTTTGCCAGTCCCGGACTTCACGTGTTATTGTCATTATGTTTTAACCCAGTGATCTCACATAGTCATGTAACAGATGATCTTATTAATATTATACTTGTTCCTACTATTAAGTTTATGATGGGTCCAGGGCTGAAAATTAACTTTTTTTTCTTGGTAGCACTGCCAAAATTTTCTTGCACCCGCCAAAAAAATTTTGTAGCACAAGTAATTTTTTTAGTAGCACATATTTCCCTATCCTTTTTGCATCCTCTAAGACATAAGCGCGGCGCATTATATTATTCTTTATATTTTCTAACAAACCCCCCACCCACCCACTCACACCTACACTGTCCCCATGGATTATTATGCAAGAAAGAAGACATGAAAGAAAAATAGAATATATTTTAAATATTGAAAAACAAACAAGAAAACAATAAATAAGAAATAACAAATCTGACAAAAAGAAAAAAATAGAAAGAAGTAATTTAATGGTGGAAAGAAAATGACAATGAAAAACTAAAAGAAAGGTAAGTATCAAAATGAAATAAAAAAAGGATGAAAAAATATTAAAAAGAAAATAGAAAATAAGGGAAC